TTTCCCCCCGAGCCGTGTTCAGTGTAAACACAGCAGTCAACTAAAGCGGTGATTAATAATTGCTGCTATGATAAGCTTGCACAGGTATTTAAAAGAGTCACTATTTGACGTTTTAGAATGAGTGCAGATTTCCTATTTGAAAAAGCCATCTAAAGATGCCTATGCGTGTGAAAAAGCGAAACAAATGATACTGGTTTAATGAGTTAAAATTGTTGTGGTATAAAAATAAACTTAACATTTTAAAATACTGGGACAACAGTAGCTCAGTTGGTAGAGAATCGGTCCTTGGGCCTTCAGGTCGTGGGTTCGAGCCCACCACGGGACCTGCTTGAACTGCTCCCACTACTGTCTGCTGTCGTTGTTCGCTTGGGCAAGACACTTAACCCCACATTGCCTGAAGCCCCCGCTGAAACACCAAGGCTCTGGAACCACTAATGTAGCAGCCATCTTCCTGTGGACCCACCACCTGCAGAAGATCAGTGAGGGACTGGTTCTATGAGCATTGGGTGGCAGCTCTGATTGTCATCCCCCCGACCCAGAAATTGACTAATAAAGGGGTAGAAAATGAATCACTTTTTAATAGGGCTGTCAAAATTATCGCATTCACTCACGTTAATTACATTTTTTATTAACGCGTTATTTTTTTTTAACGCATTAACGCATGTCCGAATGACCCGCCCATTTATCCATAAGAATATCACTCAGAATGCTGCGTGTGAGATGGCCTCCTCCATGGCCGCTCTGGTTGTTGTCAGCGGCTGTGAGTGAGTGCAAGCTTTGCACGGGCTGCAAGCATGGATCTAGCTATTATAATAACAGCAGCAAGCGATTACTCCGTTCACATACTCAGCGCTCTGCGCACTGTATTTTCTCTGGTTCTTGTCTGTCAGGCGCGCTCTGCGCACTGTATTCTCCCTGGTTCTTGTCTGTCAGGAGCGAGTGTTGCTCATGTGTGTCTTTGGGAACTAATTATTTAAAAATAGTCTCTTTCAATTGCAAGTTTTGTAATCTGTTTGTTTGATCAATGGATAAAAATAAATGCAATTTAATTAAATGGCACCTTGGCCTGTCTTATACCTGTTTGCCTGCAGGACAGTTCCCTAAACTAACATATCATACTAAAATAGGGTGGGGTTGTTGCAACAATTAATCTACTTAGAAGTTATCCTAAATTACAGCCAGCTAAAGCTCGGTACCACGACAAACGAAAAAGTAACGCAATAGTTACTTTTACTGCTAACTAGTTACTTTTATAGTGGAGTAACTCAGTTAGTAAGTCAATTACTTTTTGGAAGAAGTAACTAGTAACTATAACTAATTACTTTTTCAAAGTAACTTACCCAACACTGGAAATTATATTTGATAATCTCATTTAACTTAAATTGGAGTGGATTTGAAATAGAATGTTAAACATGCGATTAATCGTGAGTTAACTCACCATTACTATGCGATTAATCAACTAAAAAAATTTAATCGTTTGACAGCCCTACTTTTTAAACAAGCTTAGTTTTTTTCCATATCAATATATATATATATTTTTTTACACTATTCATTCATTTATTCACTACCATCCCCTTTAATAATCCATTTCTGGGGGGAATCAGAGCTGCCACCCAATGCTCATGGGTCCACACTGCTCCGACAGCAATGACACAATAATGATAATTATTCCGTATTGTAATTGATTGGCTATTGTGAAGAACTGGCATTAGTCCTACACTGGTAACAGTCATACACATACACACGCACAAACAAACATGTGTATATAAAATCAAAGTTAGTGGGAATTTGATCCAGCCTATACGTCAGAGCGGACTCCAACCTTGCAAAGCACTACAATTACCTGCGTTGCTGGCTTAATTACACTGTTTACTTGCGAGGTGTTCCATTTTTTACTGTTGCAAATGATACCAGGTTTCCTTTTACAGTAAAATCAGCTGGCTGGCTGACAGATCAGTCGTCTTGGCCCTATTCAATATTTAAGACGGTGTTCTAATTAGGCTTGTCAGCGGCAGAGGGGATATTGTTATTGTGGTATTCAACAAGTGTAGTATGTGGGTCTGTGTGTAGTGGAGACGTCAGATGAATATTGCATGGGCTCTGAGCTGGAGAGGCAAGAGAGCCGCACACGCAATCCACGTGGAGGGGAGAAAAAACAAAGACAAATCAAACTGGGAACATGGAGCTGTCAATTCTATCCCTTCTACCGTTGCAGATGTATGGGTTGACGTATCTTGACCTAGTGGTTGCATAATTACTCTCATTACATTGTTAATTTTAGGCTTTTGAGAAGGTCAACATGGTACACAATAGCAATTGTTGATGGAAAAAAAATATAATGTAGCTATACGACTATATAAGGAGGAACTCTAAACTCAACCAGATGAATTGAAAGATTATGAGTGTCTCAAAACTAAAGAAATACGCAGAGGCCAGAGAGCGACAGAGCAAGTGATGTGAGAGAGATGTGGGTCAGAGTGTTTGCGTCTACGTGTGTGTGTGTGCGTGCGTGTGTGCATGCGTGTGTGTGTGTGTGCTTTGTATTGCCTTTTATGGGTGGAACTATTATATAAGTTTATCAAACATTCTTTTTTTTTGCATTTGATTATTTGTACATACATTTGCAATAGACTATCACTACTAGTTCTACTTCTACTACTACTACCCATTATTTTTGTTAGAAACAACAGGAATTAAAATGATAAATAGTGTGTATGCATGATGAGGAGGATGTTGGTGACTTTGGTCCCAGTAAATAGTTGGAGATGAGAAATGCACAATTACATGCTTTTTCCTGATGCCAGTTTCATGATCCAATACCCTTGCAGCGTGAACCAACATTTTGAAAGCAACACATAATGTCCTTTTGTGTCAGTAATGTGTATCCAATTGAGTCACATTTTGTTTTGTTTAGTGCCTTAGTATATGTTTTGTAATTTTTGTGCTTAATCATTGTAATCTATTATGCTAAAATTCACTGGTTAGCTTGCCAATTTACATGATCCATCCATCCATCCATTTTCTTCCGCTTTATCCGTTGCCGGGTCGCGGGGGCAGCAGTCTAAGCAGAGACGCCCAGACTTCCCTATCCACACACAGCTCGTCCGGGGGGACCCCAAGGCGTTCCCAGGCCAGCTGAGAGACATAGTCTCTCCAGCGTGTCCTGGGTCTTCCCCGGGGCCTCCACCCGGTGGGACGTGCCCGGAACACCTCCCCAGGAAGGCGTCCAGGAGGCATCCTGAACAGATGCCCGAGCCACCTCAACTGGTTCCTCTCGACGTGGAGAAGCAGCGGCTCTACTCCGAGCTCCTCCCGTGTGACTGAGCTCCTCACCCTATCTCTAATGGAGCGCCCAGCCACTCTGCGGAGGAAGCTCATTTCGACCGCTTGTATCCGCGATCTCGTTCTTTCGGTCATTACCCACAGCTCATGACCATAGGTGAGGGAGGGGACGAAGATTGACCGGTAAATCGAGAGCTTTGCCTTTCGGCTCAGCTCCCTCTTTACCACAACGGTCCGATACAGAGACCGCATCACTGCGCACGCTGCACCGATCCGCCTGTCAATCTCACGCTCCATCCTCCCCTCACTCGTGAACAAGACCCCGAGATACTTGAACTCCTCCACTTGAGGAAGGACCTCTCCACCCACCTGAAGAGGGCAAGGCACCTTTTTCCGGTCGAGCACCATGGCCTCGGATTTGGAGGTGCTGATTCTCATCCCAGCCGCTTCACACTCGGCTGCAAACCGATGCAATTTACATGATATATCCACAAATGTCTTCAGATCAAAAGCTGATCAGGCCCCAGATATTGTAGAGTAGAGTAAATATTTGTTAATTTGGAGATTAACGTGTAAACCTATTTTCATCAGGCCTTACTCTACTCCTAAATTAAATGATCTCCAAAAAAAAGTAAATGCTTTGCCTGATTTTTTTATTTTTTATTTTTTTGTATGTATTCAACCCTTTTCAGTCTTTACTATGTGCCAAAAGCAAAAGCCTTGTCTGGAGTTCAGTTGAGTGGCGATCGGAGAAATGAATAATGCAAACTGTTGAATGTTTACTGACCCCACAGTGCTTTGACAGTGACCTCAAAGTGCCTGCGTTTTCAAAATAATAGCAGGTCGTCTTTAGATGCTACTTTTGGGCGTATCTGAGTGCGTATTCTACTATCCGCCAATATCTATTTTTGCCATGGTGACTTTGGGCATAATTGGCATCATCCAATCATGATAATTTCCATGACTTTTTAAGAAGGTTGTTTGGTGCATGAAAGCTACGGTCGGCATTAGTTCGCTCTTTGCCGAGCCACTTGGGACAAAATCAGTCCACTTAAGCATAACATTTGATCTTGGTATTGCACAAAGATCCAAACAGTGAAACGTTCACGATATAGTGCTTTTAAAAGTGCGTTGCCAGGCTGTGGATGCGCCGACAGAGGGCTTCTAATCAGACAAGTGTAATCACTCTGCAATCGAGCTGACATTTTAATCATTCCAGGCCGTATGTCCACATTTTTCATGAGCTTGACATTTGGAAATGCAAATAGCACGCTTGGCACGGAGAAAATGAGAAGAATCCATTAGCAGTTTCAGTATATTCCACAAGGCAATGTCTCTCTTTTAAAATGCAGCTTTGTGTCAAAATAGAAAGAGGAGAAGTCAAGGATCGATTATGAATTATGACATTATTGCCTGTGGTCATGACTCTTGAAAAAGCTAAGCTGAGAAAACATATTCAAACTGTGGATATTAAGACAGTTTTTAAAAGGAAAATAGCCATGATTTTGGGTCAAACAGCGTTGAGTATTTGAGATTAAACTTTAATTTAGTTACATAGGGCCGATGAGTACAGTGCAAACTTGTTGTGCTAGACTTTTATTTTAAATCCTCTTATTGGGGCTTTATGGGTGGATTGATTGAGTGGAAATCAAACATTTTAGTTGGAACTTATCCTTCTCGATACAGTCACTTATTTGTATTCACCTTTTCTCCCACAGTCCATTCGAGAAGTGACAGGCTACGTCCTGGTGGCGCTAAACCAGTTCGACTACCTTCCCCTGGAGAACCTGAGAATCATCCGAGGCACCAAACTTTACGAAGGTCGCTACTCTCTGGCCATTTTTCTCAACTACAGGCGTGACGGCTACTACGGACTAAGACAGCTTGGACTTCGCAACCTCACCGGTGAGTCCAGAATGCTTACGGTTGCGGTTGTATTTGCAGACACACATCAAAATTGTAATTGAAGTGGGTCTACTTTGAGCTGGAGTAAATGTTTACTGACCCAAGGTTTAGATTATCCCCCAATGTCATTTGAAAAGTCACTGTCATCGCTCATGAATAATGTTTGTCCCAGCAGAAAAAGTTCTGTAATTGTAAAAAAATGCAGTGAAGAAACCAACCCACAACATTTTGTCTTTATTTTATGACAGAACATTTCATCTCATGCATAGTTGTTGCATTTATGTGCTCTTATTGTAGAGCACTTTGGTCGCCTTGAGTGTTGTAAATAAAATGGATTGATTGATCAATGAATCAATCAATCAATCAATCAATTTTATCAGACAGGTTTCGAGAAGAACCTGTCTGAGATCAAGAACATGTGCGGCTATGTGTCCCACTCACACATCTCTCCTCTCAAGCCTGCACGGGTTACCCGTTTTGATCTTGCTGCGTAAGATGTTAAGAACAGTTCGACGATCTTTGGGCAGACAGTCAAACTGCCCAAAGACTGTTTGACACTTTGGGCAGAAAGCTGATCTAATGGGACAGAGGCCAAAAAATTTACGCATGTGAAAATTAGTGATTGGAGTTAACCATTTTGAGCCAGGTTAGTCAAATTGTATTGGATAACACGTTAGATTTAAAGCCAATGATTCAAATACAATCCAACTACTTACAAATCTGAACAACGTGTAACTGCTGCATACATCTTCAAAACAACAGTGGCTTTTTCCATCCATTACTTCTCGCCATGCCCCATTTCCCATAATGTACATTTCAGAGTTGTTTTCGTCCATGCACATTTAATAGACTTTTTAATTAGGTCCCCAAATTAAAACTCAACTTTTGAAGTCCATGAACTAATCTTCTGCCTGGCTGTACATAAGAATCAAATATCTGTAAAAAGTCCCATTTTCCTGGTAATTGAGTTTTTGTTTACACGCCACTCAAAAAATAACCGCTTTCAAGTTTGATTGTTTGTTATTATAGTTATTGCTTTGGCTTTGGAGTAAAGGTGGGATGCATAGTTGATTTGTAGCCCTCGTTGTTAAAGAAAGTTTAGAAATTGTCAATTGATATCAGAACTATCAAATGATCCATGTCTGATAAGTTTTGGTTTGAAGAGGCTTCTCAACAGCTCATCATGGAAACGGTGATGTGATCTAAAGGTCAGCAGAACAACTCAAACTCTTAAAATGAGAAGCGACAGTCCAATCACTTGAATGTTAGCTGTCAGAAAGGATGACTGGAGGACTGGCAAGAAACGGACATTGCATATTGAATTGATGGATCTTTCACCAAATGTTTTTTTAATATCTGTTTAAAACCACACTAGTTAACAAAGATCTGCAAATATCTGAACGTCACTGACTGAACGTCACTGACTCTTGAATATAAGAAAATATGTATATTAACCATTTGGATAATTGTGAACATATCACAATGGAAACAAAAACGGTCCCAGTGTAGAGCCTTGTGGGACACCTACACTACGCATTTACATTTTCTTAACAAGTGGCAGATATCGTTGCATGAAAGAGGTACATTTCCTCTAATAGTAGCAATTTTTCTTGGGTTTTTTTGAGCCACTTTTTGCAGTGACATAATTTGGTGGGATTTCCATATATCTTCACTTGTCGATCTCTTCACTTTGGTCGTAGAACAAATAACTAACCGATTACCAATCTCGATCAATGTGATAAATTGCACATACCTAATATTTGTTGTGGTATTCAGATTTAGTTTATTTGCCATTTGCAGTAAAAACACCACATAGGAATACATTAGCAAAAGTCACCAGTGTGCACAGACAAATACAGACATAAAACAACATTAAAAAGACAAAAATAAAACAAATAAAACAGTAAAGAAATGTCACTGTGAAATCGATCGACTAAAACAGTTTCAAAACAAGTGCAAATCATTAAAATGCTCTGTTCAAACTGATAACAGCTTGTGGATAAAAACTGTTAGCGTAACGAGATGTCCTGCATCTCAGAGAACGATATCTTCTGCCAGAGGGAAGAAGCTGGAACATGGCTTTCCCAGGGTGGCCAGAAGAGTCACTAACAATCCTAAGAGCTTTGTTTAAAAGTCTGGATTTATAAAGAACCTCCAGAACAGGAAGCTCACAGCCCACGTTCCTCTTTGCAGAGCGGAGCACCTGGTATGTGATTCTTTCTTTCCAAACAGCATTTTAACTCAACTTTATGGTGGATTTGAAGGATGAGCTTTTTGGATACTACCACTCAAACGTAAGAAAGGGCTAATATTGTAATGTGATTGACCTCGTGAGAAAATGGGTTTTCGACCAAAATTGACGTGTATGTAACTTGTGAGAAAAATAGGCTTTGAAATTACATACAGCATGCCTAAGTATTTTATATAACCTTATATATTTGCCTTTCATTGGTTTGAATAGGCGAAACGTATCAGCGGATGATGCCCCCCGCCAAAGTAGGAATGCTCACAGACATCCCTGATCGAACATGAATCACAGCAGGGCCCATTAGCAGTACATTAGTAAAAGTCGGGAAAACGTTGGCGGGTATGGGGCAGTCTGGGAGAGGTGTCACATGTTCTGGCCTCTTCTGCATTTCTCCTCCATTAGATGACACCTCTGCCCTGGGGTCTTTCTCTATAACCATCATCACTCATGTTTCAATCACAAGCGTTAATGTTGAACTAAGAATGAGAGCCTGGAGGCCAGCGGCAGCAACGGTGAAGTGGCAGCAACGGCGCTTTGAAATATTCCCACGATCAGAACTCTAATAGAACTTTGATACGTTTCTAAATGCATTAGGGCTGAAGTTTCCGGTATATGAAGGTAGAATGTCCTCATGCCACCTTTGCTCTGACTACATACTGTCGAGAAGTCAAGAGGTTTTCCATTAAAAGTTGGAGAATATGAATAAGATAAGATAAAACTTTATTGCGGGGCTACAGTGGCTCAGTTGGTAGTGCCTGAGGGTCATGGGTTCAAGACCCTCTCCACGATTCCCACGGATGTCTGCTGTTGTTGTTGTACAATTAACCCCACTTTGCCTGAAGCCCCCACAGAAAGACCAAGGCTGTGCTCTCACTCACCACCTGCAGGAGGATCAATGAGGGGCTGGGTGGGACTGTCACCTCCCCCGACCCAGAAATTCATGAAGGGGTAGAAAATGGAGGGATGGAAAACTTTATTGATTCACAATGGATAATACTTTTTGGCTCACACAAAATGCAAATAGGCTAGTAATGAGCAAAAAGTTAAATAAATATATATATTTTTGTCGGTGGTCATGTCACGAGGTGAAAATGAGGAAGACTCAAAACGCAAGAATGCCAAAATAAAGCTTTTAATAAAACAAAGTCCAAGGCAAAGAACAACTCCAAAAAATCCAAAGTGACCAGGACAAAACTAGACAAGACAATGCAGCAGCCACAAGGGGAGAGAAGCACAGGGTACATATAGACACAGACACAGGTGAAACACATCAGGGCGGGGCAGACAATCAAGAGGGGAACAGGACATGAAGTAAAACTTAAATGAAACCAGATAACTAATGTCAAAATAAAACCAAATACAGAAATAAAAATCCACACCATGACATTACCCCCCCTCCAAGGGACAGCTCCCAGATGTCCCAAAAACCCAAGCGCGAGCCAGGGAGGGCGGAGGGATCCGGCGGTGGGACCAGAGGCAGCATAGAGGCTGGGAAAACCTCAGGTCCAAAGCAAAGTCCAACCTATTCAGGAACAGAAGCTGAAGCCCAGCGACGACCTTCCACAGGGAACTGGCACATCCCAGGCAGAGACTCATGCCCGGCGGTGTCCCAGACACAAAACAGAACCACCCCAGACGGACATCAATGTCTGGCGGTGGCAACAGGTGAGGGGAAGGAGAGGCCATCGAAGGGCAGCAGACAGACGGGGACATCCAGTGCAGGACTTCACCGTTTTCCTTGACGGGTCAGGAGGGAACAGGGGACCACCCCAGGCGGAGAACAAGGCCCAGCGGTGGCACAGAGACAGGCACAGGAGACAGGAACGGGAGACAACCACCCCAGACAGAGGTCAAGATCTGGCGGTGGTTCCAGGAATCAGGTGAGGTCAAAAGTGGAGCAAACGAAAAAGGCAAAAATAAAGAAAAACCTGAGTGCTGATCAACTGGGAGCAGGTGTGGGAAAAATGCATTCCGCTGAGTCTCTTGAGTGGCTGCTGCATTCTGTCACGAGGTGAAAATGAGGAAGACTCAAAACGCAAGAATGCCAAAATAAAGCTTTTAATAAAACAAAGTCCAAGGCAAAGAACAACTCCAAAAAATCCAAAGTGACCAGGACAAAACTAGACAAGACAATGCAGCAGCCACAAGGGGAGAGAAGCACAGGGTACATATAGACACAGACACAGGTGAAACACATCAGGGCGGGGCAGACAATCAAGAGGGGAACAGGACATGAAGTAAAACTTAAATGAAACCAGAATATAATGTCAAAATAAAACCAAATACAGAAATAAAAATCCACACCATGACAGGTCACGTGGTCACGGAAGGTGAATATGGCGTCTTAGTGTGAGTCGTGAACTAACTCGCCCGCAAAATCTTATTTAAGCAATTAAACAAACAGTTCTGATCTTTGCGAAAAGTTGTGCGTAAAGTCTGATGTCTGGATGCCCCAAACCAGGAGCAGGAGAAAGAAACAACAAGGCTCAAAATTGGAAATGAGTGCCAAGGATGTGAGCAAGTCTACTACAGCTGCGGCTGATGAGGACACGCCGGGTTGGGCAAAGTGTCTGATCGCTAATTTTAACAAAAATCAGCTAGACTTGAACGCAAAATTGGAAGAAATCAACACGAGCGTTCATTCCATATCTAAAGAATTCAAAGAAATGAACGATTGGGTTACGGCCGCGGAGAAGCGCATAAGTGACCTGGAAGACAGTCGCAACGAGGAGAATTGCACAGTGCAAACGCTGCTTAAACAAGTGTCAACACTTGCTGTTAGAGTGGATATGCTGGAGGCGCGCAGCAGAATGAACAACATCAGAATAATTGGCCTTAAAGAAGGCATGGAGGTGGACAATCTGATGGGATTACTGGATCGGTTGTTCCGATACATTCTGGACCTAGAGGAGAGCGATACAACTCCCGAGGTGGAAAGGGCTCACAGAGCTCTACGTCCGCGACCGAACCCAGAGGACCCCCCGCGCATGGTTGTAGTGCGCCTGCTGAGATGGAGAGACAAACTAAAACTGCTGATGGCTGCTAAGAAGAAGGGATCACTCTCCTGGGACGGTCAGCCCTTCTACTGTATATTCGCCAGGATCTGACATCGGAGGTTCGGAGACAACGGGCTGAGTACAACGAGATTATTGAGGAGCTGAAGAAGCAAGGTGTAAGAGTCGGCGTACTTTACCCTGCTCGCCTGGTCGCCACCATCGATAGGAAGAAATGCATTTTTGAAACTCCAGAAGAAGCTAGACGGGGACTCTCACGACTGCTGCAGAAGACGCGCGCGTCTGTGTCAGACTCAGCCACCTGACGCGCATAGGCGGTGGCATCCTACCAGCTATGAGCTAAGTGACTGGAAATCGATGCATCTACATTTGTTGACGTTAGAAGTTTTGTTTTCAAATAATATACTTACATTAAACTATATCAAGACAGCATTTACTTTGTCGGTTGTGAGGAGAAGGCCTATTGTTAAGCTTATTTTATTTAAATAATTGTAGAAACCCTACAAAGACAAAAGCCATATGCGGGCAAGTTATTTTTTTGTTTGGGTTCACACAGCGCCTACATCAATTGCCACGGACGGAGGATGGAAATATTCATCTTCTTTGTAATTACATGGAGTCTGCGCAGTTGCAGACGATTTAAATGTTATTTGTCTCCCTTTTGTTCCTCCCCTAATGTGACAGCACAATTATGTTTTATTCCCACAAATCATGACAAACGGAACTAAAGTAATATCGTGGAATGTAAATGGGGCCCAAAATGTTGCAAAACGCTCTAAAATTCTGGTTCACCTAAAGTCAATCGAGTGTGATATAGCGATGTTACAAGAAACACACTTAACTAAAGAAGAATCGATGAAACCTAAACAACGCTGGGTGGGCCAATTGTTTTGTTCTCCGGGTACTAGTGGCTCTAAAGGTGTTTGCATACTGATCTCAAAAAAAATAAAATTTAAGGTGTTTGATGTACATGGAGACAAAAAGGGGAGATGGCTGATAGTGTCAGGGGAAATGTCTAACCAAAAAACAGCGTTGGTGAATCTGTATGCTCCCAACACTGCACAAGCAAACTTCTTAACTCTAATCAACTTGCAATTAATAAAATATACAAATTCTTCACTCATCATTGGTGGAGATTTCAATGCAGTGTGCAATGCCTCTATGGATCGCTCAAGTCATCCACTACCTGCAGATAAAGCATCCTCAAGAGCATTTACTGAATTGTTAGACACTCATGGGTTAGTGGATGCCTGGCGCTTAAAAAACCCTAATGAGAGGCAGTATTCATTCTATTCAAAAGTGCATAATTCATATTCCAGAATAGATTATATCCTGGTCCAAAATTCATTGGTGGAAAACATTACTAATGTGGCAATACATAATATTCTAATTTCTGATCACGCTCCTATCACATTAACATACTGTCCAACCACACCTGTTACAAAATCCAAGCATTGGAGATTCAACAATGCCTTGCTAAAAGATAAGGAATTTCTCAAATTAATATCTCAGAACATACCATTTTTCTTTAAATGCAATTTGACTCCAGAAATTCCAACTCAAACTATTTGGGAGGCTTTTAAAGTAACATGTCGAGGTTGGATTATTTCCTATGCCTCTCACAAAAATAAGGAGCGAAACAAAATGAAAGAAGGAACTTTGAAAAAACTGAAAGAACTCGTAACAAAACACATGACTGACCCGTCCAACGATGAGGTGAAACAAGAACTACTCAAAGTAAGAATGGAGGCACAAAAAAGGATACATGAGGAATTTTCCTTTATGCAATACAAACTAAAAAAGGATTATTATGAAAGTGGTGAAAAGGCAGGAAAAATGTTGGCTTACCAACTAAAAAAGAATGAACAAAAAAACACAATAAATGCTATAAAGGATACAGAAGGAAACCTTGTGACAGATCATAAAGCAATTAACAATACTTTTAAGGAGTATTATTCAAATCTTTATCAATCAGAATGTAACGTAGAAAGGGAGTTCTTGGATAAGTTTTTCTGTAATCTCCTATTGCCCTCCTTGGAACAAGATGAAAGCCAAAATATTGAAGCTCCTATCTCAATTACTGAAGTTACTAAAACTATTAACTGTTTGTCTAACTCCAAGGCTCCAGGAGAAGATGGCTACACAGCAGAATTTTACAAATGCTTTTCCAAGGAATTGGCTCCCTTTCTAACAGTGCTATACAATAATATAATACAAAAACAATGTATGCCACCAACAATGAGAACTGCCATTATATCATTAATTCCTAAACCAGGCAAAGACCAGTTGCAGGTAAACAATTATAGGCCCATAAGTTTGCTCAACAGTGACTACAAACTATTTGCCAAGATTTTGGCAAGTCGTTTGGAGAAAATAATTCCCAGTTTAGTGAACCTAGACCAAGTTGGTTTCATACCAGGACGTCTGATGTCCAATAACATGAGGCGACTTTTCCAATTAATGGATAGGGCAGGTTCTTTTCAGCACCCAGTGATCGCTGTGTCACTGGATGCTGAAAAAGCTTTCGACCGGATAGAATGGTCATATTTATTTCATGCTCTGTTTCAATATGGTTTTGGCCCAAATTGTCTGCAATGGATAAAAGCTATATACCAACACCCAACGTCATCTGTAAAATCAAACAATGTCATCTCTACACCCTTTCAGCTCTTTCGCTCCACGAGACAAGGATGCCCGTTATCCCCAATTTTATTCACTCTTGCACTAGAACCGTTAGCATGTATGATCCGAATGGATAAAGAAATAGAAGGAATAAAAGTGGGAAACCATGAATTCAAATTAAGCATGTACGCAGATGATATCCTATTGACTTTGACAAAACCATCACAATCCATCCCTAAAATTCTTCAGAATATAAACACATTTGGTAAATTATCAGGGTACAAGGTTAACTGGAGCAAAATGAGGGCATGAAATACTTGGGGGTTACAATTGGGTTGCCGATAGACAAAATTATGGAAAAAAACTTACATCCACTAACAAATACTATAAAAGAAGACCTTAAGAGATGGTCATCACTGCCATTGTCTCTGTGGGGCAGAGTTGAAATAATTAAGATGAATGTTCTCCCAAGAATTCTCTCTCTCATCTCCTCAGTGCCTCTTAATATACCAATGTGTTGGTTTGATGATGTGAAGAAAATGTTTAGCTCTTTCGTATGGAGAGACAAAAAACCCAGGATCAATATAAAAAAACTCTCTACAGAGAGACCAAGGTGGTCTAGGTATTCCAGACATCTTTCTGTATTATATTGCATTTAATGTCAGATATGGTTTAGCCTGGGGTTATAGGAAGATACGAGAGAAAGGGAGTTGGGATTGGCTGGAAGAACAAGTATTTAAAGAAAATAATGCATCCATTTCACTATCATCACTATGGTATCACCCATATCTACCTGTTAAACTGAAGAACCCTCTTATGCGGCTGACCTGTACAACCATTAAGAAAATGCGCCAAAAACTGGGTAATACAAAATTGGTACTTGCATCCTGTCCAATATGGAACAATATGGCAATTACAGCTGCAGGGAATCCTTTAACAAATAAAGCATGGAAACAAAATAACATTCTGCAAATTTCTGATATTATCAATCAAGGTTCACTGCGGTCTTTTGAGGAGCTGAGAACTAAATATGGCTTATGTACAAATGCCTTTTTGCAATACGCCCAAATAGCTTCGGTTTTCTCCTGACTACCGAAGGAATACTTTAAATATGATAGTGAAATGGATAACAAATACAGAAAGTTGGTGATTAATAAAGGGACAGTTTCGGGTCTGTATAAACTATTTATTAACTCAGACCAGACTGTAAATAAACAAACAGAATCAAAATGGGGACAAGATCTAGGACAAACAATTACCATTTCAGAATGGAAACCAATATGGAGGAATATAACCAGAATATCAAAATCAATAAAAATTAGGATGATACAATTCAAATTATTACATAGAGCTTATATAACTCCAGCCAAACTCAACTTAATAGACCCACAGACCTCAGACTTATGCTGGGGAGGCTGTGGTCAAAGGGGAACATTAATACATATGCTTTGGTACTGCCCTGATATTACACATTTCTGGACACTGATAGTAAATGCAGTCTCAAAACTATTAAGTATTAACCTGTGCCCTTCCCCAGCTACTTGCTTACTCGGATTCAGAGATACTCAACTGGAAAACAAACAGAACTATAAGATAGCTAATATAGCTTTCATTGCGGCTAAAAGAATGATAATAATGAATTGGAAACATTGTAAATTAAACTGTTTTGCAGTAGAAAAGTGAATACACGAATTTACAGATTTACTAGCCATGGAAGAAATTATTAACAACAATGACGGTATGGATCTGGATCTTGAGCAACTCATAGCTGGGGTCGGGTCAAAGGATGTGGTGTCAGGAAGGTAAAAGCTCAGTCTGCTTTTTGTTTTCTTCATCAAACGTGCCAACTAAATGATAAATATGAATATGAAGTATGCTTAACGCCTATTGATGGCATATTGTGTCTGGGTTCCAGGCCTGTTTGTTGTCTGTATATATCTCGATAATTACAGAGACATTTATTGTCTCTTTGTCATGGAAGGACTGTGATGTTAACTCCCCCCCCTCCCTCCCCACGTTGTTTGTGATGTATTCTTATTTTTATTTTATTTTATATGTATGTATGTATGTATGTATGTATGTATGTATGTATGTGCGTATGTGCGTATGTATGTATGTGCGTATGTATGTATGTGTATGTATGTGTGTATGTGTGTATGTACATTGGCCTTAAGCCCAGAAGGTCGTGGGTTCAATTCCCACCTCTGCACCTTCTCCATCGACTCCCACTGATGACTGCTGTCGTTGTGTCCTTGGGCAAGACACTTAACCCCACTTTGCCCAAAGCCCCCACTGAAAGATCAAGGCTATGCTCACACTCAGAGAGCAGCCGTCCTCCTGTGGACTCACCACCTGCAGAGGGTCAGTGAGGGGCTGGTGCTATGAGACTTGGGTGGCATCTCTGACTGTCATCCCCCTGACCCAGAAATGGATTAAAGGGTAGAAAATGGATGGATGGATGGATTTTGACTGACTGGACGAATGACTTTTTATCATTGCATTTCCAGTATTTGAACTGTTGAATCGACAATTCTGCAAAATCCTCCAAGATAACTACTGTTGTGATTTAGGACTATACAACAATGAATTGAATGACAGCATAGGTATACGCTCCTTCACTGTCCATGGTGCTGAAATGTTAAGGCGCTAAACATAAACAAAGCAGAATAGAACCGTGGAGTCGTCCATGGTCCTGATGTGTGCACCAGTTCAGAGTGAGGAGTAACTATCGTACAGTGAATTACAAAAGTTCAATAGCTTGAACTTTTGCACATTTTATCAAGTCACGACAACAAACACAACTTTTACTGGCATGCTACACAGATTAACCCTTTAAGCGCCAAAGTCGCAATATTGCGACAAGCAACATTGCTCACTTAAACAGGCTGTATGTAAAAATGTGGTGCAGAATCTTGTTAATACTTTTCACCAGGGGTTAGTGGACATGTGTGCCTGTAATATGAGCAGCATTTGTGGGTGTGGTTATATTGAAAGTTTTTGAGTAAATTGAGTTCGTAAAACACCTGCGGCGCAGCAGCGCGGAGGCGAAGCAGCAGCGGTAGAGCTGAGAGGAGCGAGAGCAGAACAGAGGGAGAGAGGGTTTTTTATTTTACTCACGAGGTCTTCAGTACCAGAGAAGTACTTGGTCTGGTACTGGCTCACTCAGAATCAGAGGAGGAAGACACGCAGGTGTCCAGTGAAGCAGACACAGACATTATTAGTGACGGGGAGACCGCGCCATATAGTCCACAATCAGCCCCTGTACAGCGGCTGCTTGTCCTCCGTGTGGCCGCGGGAGAAGCATTCTGTGAACGCCAAACAGGGGCTGTGGTCGAGGCGAGGGTACAGGGGCATCATAACACCGGGCATGTGGGAGAAAGTAGCGGGGGTAAACATCCACGGGGAACACGGGAGACGCGGGAGAGCCGCGGGAATAAAACACATCGCTTTTCGCGTTCACTGCCTTTACCAACAGTGATGATGAGGATCAAGGCAGTTCTTGAGAGAAAATAATCCACAAAAGTGGATCAGAAGTGTTGAAGAGCCTGTTGTTGCTTGTTGAGACGATCTGACATGTTCTGAGCCCATTCATTTCATCTCTCTGTTTCTAAACCATAAATCCAGGAGCCTCATTTCCACCGAGAAAAATAGTATGCCCACCACTTCTTTGAAAGGGAAATATTGAAACCAAACTCCAGATTTCATGACTGTAAACTATAAAGAGAGCTGTCTTGATCACTGAAGGTCTATGAAAATAATACAATTCTGTATGGCCGCGAACCAGTGCTAAAACATTATCTATAATCTGGATCAGGGAATTTATTTCTATCCCAAATTCATTTCATACTAAAGATATTTCACACTGACTGTTTATAGTATTCCCTGATCTAAAAAAAACTCCCAAGCTACAGCTTTTTTAAGTTTTTATACAATAATTAACATTTTCCAAAATGGCCGCCACCTTGATGACGTCACAATATGCAAATTAGATGACGAATCAACTTCCATCCCAAAGTTTGGTTCAAACTGAAGATATTTCTAATTTACAGTATGCCTTTATCTCAAACCATTTTAAAGTTATAGCCTTTTGAAATCTTGAAATCAAAATTGTATATTTTCTTGAAAAAACTCTGGCGCCTAAAGGGTTAAGAGACAACTGTAAAACAAAATTGTTAAAAGTGAAAACTAGAAAGGGACAAAACTGCATGAGTGAATGCTTGTGGAATCCAGGTTGCTGGTGAATGCTAGTCTTATGGGATTTGACTGACATCTTTCCCCCTTTGTCCTCACAATTTAGTCACAGTGTGTCAGGTTTGAAGGGGATTGGATACTTGGATATTAATCTGGACTTCAAAAACAAGAATATGTTTTGTTTTAAACTAGTCTAGTTTTTATGTTTGTTTTGCATCTTGAGTGTCCTGTATTCTGTTCCATTCATCTTCCCCTCAACTCTGATACTCATCCCTGTCCCGACTGAAAAAAAAAGTAGCCCCATAACATGATGCTGCTCCTACTGTATGGTTTTGCAAGAAATGACCAATAGTTAGAAGTATTGTATTACTTATTACTTTTACTATTTATTATTTATATATCCAAATGGTTTGGAAGTTTGGTACCAAAGCGTAAACAAGCCATGATTACACTAAAAATGTCTCAAATCTCAACCTAATCCAGGGGTGTGCAACCCTAAAATACACAGAAAGTGAAAAGCCCATCAGAAATATAACATATTTGTCAATTTCCAAATGGGAGGATTTCGGATTGATTAGCTGGAGCCAACAGAACTTTTTTTCCCTGTTAGATGACGCACACACGAGCCTAACATTGGCTTTATAAAGGTAGATCAACTCTGCCCTTTTTTTCACTGTGGCACTGTGAGTTGGATGATTAGAGCCAGGAAATGTGAAGGGGGCATGGTCTGTACTCTGAAGCTGTCCATGTGGGAGAAAGTTCACTCTTGGCTAAGCAGAAACAAGCGGTGGTGCTGAAATCAAGTGTGCGATCGCTAAACGCACTAGAACAGAGCTGGGGAGCTGTCCGCTGTGCTGAAATAGCAAATCCTCCTATACATCCCCATTTCCATTTAAACGGAAATGGGGATGTATGGAAAGCTGCAGCAACGGCTGCAGCTGTGTACACACACACATGCGTATGAGCTGTGTGTGATTCAGATCATAGACTGGAACATGAAATTATTGTGAAAGTCCACTGCGCTTTTAAAATAGTGACTTGTTGATTGCACTGTGCAGATTGAAGGGCTCATCAGATCACATTTTTGACGCAACGTGGCACAATCAGTCATTTATTTCAGGATCAATAAAGTTTATCCTAACCTATCCTATAAATATATATTGGTAATCCGCAGAACAAGAGCCTAAACAAGTGGAATCAGTATTGACCTCAACAAATTAATGCATAAAACAGACATAATTTACATTACTGTTAAAAAGTTCAGTCTCGCCCTTGAATTGACTACATGGTTTCAACCTTTACACAAAATTCACTTGTATCCGTAAACCATATCATTATTCACCATAGTCCTAAAAAAGCAATACTCAGAATTCTGTTAAACAAGTGGGATGAAGTTCCCAGAGTAATGTGAATACGTAAGGTCTTTGAAAACTAGAAAACTGAAAAAAAGAGACCAATAATGAGCATATCAATTTGAGTACATTGTAATAGATACTGTAGATACATAGACAGACCACCACAGGAGAAATGCAGGTGTCCAGTAGCAGCAAAAACACATGCATTCATACAAACAGAACAACTACATAGATAATTCTAAAAGTGGAAAAAAATAGTAATGAAATGCAACAGCACTTCAGGTGACAGCAGCAGAGGTGGATGCAAAATGTTGTCTTAAAAGCTTTGTCCATGAGCATTAATGTTTGATTTTACGAAAGGGTTTGTCTGTTTTTACCTATGCAGTTTATTTTGGTGCAAACTTCATCTAGCAGTAACCCAGTGGCTATAAGAGAGGTCAGCATGGTACCTTCCCACAGCAGAGGCGAGAAAACCATAGAAACAATTGACCCTGTAGTGTCCCAGAGACCACTGTGACAGAGCCAATCTTACAGCCATTGGGTCACTACAACCTCAAATGGGCAAAAAATATTTAATATTACTGTTACACAATTCCCCAATGAATCTAAATCAGTCGCATTGTTGGTTTTAAAAAAAAGTCACACAATGCCAAAATTCTGCAGTTCTAGTTTCTAGTCAGAGCTGGATAGACCCTAGAGCTGTCCATGGTGCTGAAACTGCTGAGTGCATTTGAATGTATATGAAGTGATTTAGTGGGAAACTAAAAACGCCGAAGACTCCACTCTCTCTGTCCGCATCTTTTTAAGACAAATGTAGAGATGATTATGTTTATGGACCTTAAATGTATTGTTATTTATGAACCAAGGTTTATTTTGGAAGTATATATGTTTTATGTCAAATGAAAAGGTACCTTGAGGAAGGAGAGGTTGCGGTTGCGGTCGATGCTGGTGATCTCCAGGTTGCCCATGACGACCTCACAGTTCTCGTAGACCTTCTTGAGCGTCCGGTACTGCTGCTCCAGGTCAGACAGCGTGCTCAGCTTGTTCTGTGTGCCCGGGCAAACTGCACACAACACACCAGAGAAGCACTTAGACATGATTTAAAGACCCCCAAATCCTGATCCATTTACAGCGATTCACAGTCCGCTACAAGAAGACAACACCGGATGAAAGACAAAATCAAATGCGCCAGCTTCAGCATCACATGTAAAGGCCCAAACACATCTAAACCATAGAGAACATTTTAAAAACTCTTGTCAAAAAAACCCCACAAATGATTCCAGCATTATATGACACCATGAAACCAAAGGCTGAGATTTAGTTCCTTAAATTTCCCTTCTGTTGTCTGTCTTGTTTGTTTCCCAGTTCTTGTCTTTGTCCTCAGTTCCAGCATTTTACATTCAGTTGAGTTTTGTGAAAAAAACAAAACAAAAAACAGACAGAAAGTGAAGAGCCCGTCAGAAACATAACAAGTCTGTCAAACTCTGTCTTTCAAAAGGGAGAGTTCAGCACAGATTAGCCAGAGCCAACAGAATCTCTTTTTCCCAGTTAGATGACACACACAAGGGTGACAGTAGCTCAGTTGGTAGAGCAGTGGCCTTTGAGTCTGGAGGTCGTGAGTTCGATTCCCACCATGGGACCTACTCCAATTGCTCCCACTGATGTCTACTGTTGTTGTGTCCTTGGGCAAGACACTTAACCCCACGTTGCCTGAAGCCCCCGCTGAAAGACCAAGGCTGTTTCACCACTGACAGAGCAGCAATCTTCCTGAGGACTCACCCCCTGCAGAGGCTCAGCGAGGGACTGGTGCTATGAGCATTGGGTGGCAGCTCTCATTGCCACCCCCCTGACCCAGAAATGGAAAATAAAGGGCTTGAAAATGAAATTAAATGACACACACAAGAGTCTAACATTGGATTTATAAAAGGTAGATCGACTTTGCACTTTAGCATTTTCATCCCTTCCTCCTTTTCACCACGTGACAGATACATTACGATGTGTAGGACCAACCTCTAGAACATAACATACAGACGGAAACTGTGAGAACGTGTGTAAGTGTAAAAGTGTAAAAAATTAACAGATTGGTTTGAAGATTGTAAAAAGACATAATGTGACTTTTGTTTTAAATGTATTGTTTTAGGGCCCTGCCTATAAGCTAATGCGGCATCATGGGTGTTCCCTTTTTACAAAACAACAACAAACTTTAGAAATGACAAAGTTTATGACAATGTATCACTATGGAGTTTTGACAAAGATACATGAAACGAGTAAAACAATTCTGCACCTGGACGTCATGTCAATTCTTCTTACATTTGTGTTTTCCGTTTCTATTTTGAATCTTCCCAGGAGTCCTCTCATCTCACCACATGTGGCTCTCTCAGTGTAAAGAGGTTCTTCGTTGTTATGTAATTGGAAATTTACTTTTGTCATGTTTTGTTTGGAGCTCAATATTGAATAATTAAAGCTGGAGTGCCTCGCTTTGAAACCACAAAAGCACAAAATACAATCCATGTATCAGCTCCTTGCTCTCAAAACTGTTTGGTTCAATCACCAGCTTCCACATGCAATTGTTTTTGACCTTAGTCACATTGTTAGAGTAGAAGCCGTCTCTCAGCCATTCATCTGATCTCTCAGAGAGTAAAAAAGAAAATTTAGCTGTATTGATACGCTTCCAGTATTGAATCATGTTGGCACTTTCACAATTTCTCCATAAAGAAGAAGGTCCTTTATTCGTACCACAATGGGGAGATTTCAGTTTGATGCATACACATACATAAAGGAAGGATTTTTGCCAGTAAACTCTTGTTCACTTGTTCAAGTCTTTGTATGCATTGGCAAACAACATGTATTAATGAAACAAAATGAAAAAAAAAGGTTCTTCTAAGACATGAAGGTCTCATCTAACGGCCTTCACACTAGTAAAACATTCTATATTATTGATTTGATGATGTAAATGTCTCTTATTTCCCCAAGGCCACGAGTAATATTTCACATGGAAATGAAACAAGCATGTTACACTCTGACAATGCAGTGACACTGGTGAGACATTATAATGTGTGTGTGTGTGCGCACGCGTGCACATGTGTGCGTGTGTGTGTCTGTGTCTGTCCCTTCAATATAGATGATCTAAAAATGAATGTGTATCACATGAAGACATGGCAGTCATCTTTGCACGCACAAATATAATTTGTCACACACATTAGGCCTTAGGTCTCATTCAAAACGAATGTGCTTTTATCTTTTCATATTCTGAGGACTTGAAATAAAGAAAAACATGTGAAATGTCACCTCAAAAAGGGTTTGTTTTTGTAATAGCAGCAGCAGAAGTATTAGCATCAGAAGAAACAGATGTTTTAATGGTCTTGGTTCTACTACTACTACTACTACTACTACTACATTGATCCATGCACATTATTTACTCAATCATAATAATACATTGTGGCACATTAAAAAGTAATTCTTTGGCATAGCCTTCTCGCTCATGGTTAGTGAAAATAAAAATGGCCTATAATTAATTTGGTCTGATGAGTTTAATCAGAATGTTACACAATATTACATGTGAAACACAAACAAATGTAATTTTAATAAAGTTATTTTAATTGTTGTTGAATAATTGAATGTATTCATTATTGTCTCTCAGTGTAAATCACAGCTGAATGAAAACAAAACTACACAGCCTGAGTTAGAAGGACAAAAAACATCTAGTGCAGCCACAAAATTGCATCTGTGAAAATGTCAACAACAAAACTACATTCAACACAATCACTTCTACAACTACACAAATGTTAAATGCCTCTTGTCTGTTGCCGCTGCCTATTTTGTTCAGAATATTACCGCAAACTTGATGAATGTGTCCCCATTCATCAAGTGCTGAACCTCTCAACCAGTGCAAGATCCAAAATACAAGTCATATGCAGCAAAACCATTTAGGAAAATTGTATAAACCCACCGCAGTGTGTACCAGATGATACACACAAGAGCTTTATCTTTGGCATCATCTTTATGGTGCCAGGCATAACGTAACAGTACAAAAGAACTAGAATGGCAGCAAGTCCTGAGTAGCTCTGAAACAGTTGTTGTTTTGTGCTTTCCAATTGTTTTTTTTTTTTCTTCCTACCCAAGATGTTGCTGCAGGACAGTCTTCATGGTTTTGCACCGGTCCAGACCAGAGCAGAGAGGATTCACAGTCCGGACTAAGAGGATCAGGTGAAAAAGAGGAAGCATTCAGCATTTTACTTTGGACTAGAGCAGAGATAATGGTCTGAACCAAGCGGCATCTCCACCTCTGCTGCTGTGACCTGAAGTGTTAGCTTTTTTGAATTATCTATTTGTTTGTTTTGTCTGTGTGAATGGATGTGTTTCTACTGCTACTGGACACTTCATTTTCTCCTACGCGGATCAATAAAGTATCTATCTATGTCCGGGTGACTGCAAGCCACACTCGCAGGATCATTTTACCCTCTGTATTCCAGCACCTCCCACATTACAAATGAAGCACTGGCTAACAGTAGCCTGAGCAGTTGTACTATAGCATTACAGCAAAGGGCAAAGGAAAGGGCAAATATAGAGCAAGGTGTTGCAAATTGTGAGAAAAGGACATTTCCAGTGGAGCTGAATCCGTACGCCGCGGCAGACAGCTCCACTCAGCTGAATAAAAGATTCCTCTTGCCTTCTCTCTTTCTCCTAACTTCAATTTGATTCTAGTCACTCCAGCAACTTTACACCACCTGCCCGAGCCCAAAGAGGCCAGTGAAACACACAGGAAACTGCCACTAGCGTTACTAGAAACAAAAAATTTACTCAAAAGAAGTCCAGAGTGCAGAGATTTGACACCAGTGGTTCTGAAGGCCCTATAGAAACAAGTACAACAGAAGGTCTCGATAAAAGTACATTTTCAGTCCAAAACTTAGTGGAGGAGTTGGCTATCGAGGATTTGAATTAATTGCATCCAATCAGGAAGCAGTGGGGGAGGGTCTAACTCGGACATCTGAAATAAATGTCTCTCTGTCTTCCAAATTTGAAAAGGTAACTAACTTCCCCTTTAACCTCTGGCTGTGAGGATTTTGTGAATGGATTAGCTGAATATGTCAGTGAACATTCTACCAAAACAAAGCTCAGTGACGCCCCTTGAGTATTATCGAGCAAATTAACTCAATTGCTAACAACTATTTCAATAATTGATTAGGTTTGATTTGTTGAAGAACTTGATCCAGCCCTAAAACAACGAATGAGAGGGACTAGTCACAGCAAAACAAAAGAGGATGGACAAACAACTAGACGGACAAGACACTTTAAAAACTATACAGCAGGCCTCAGCATCATCACTGTCAGAATTTCACAACACACCAAAAACAAAAACAATTCTCTATAATTGTATTTTTATTCATTATGTCATATTTACATTATGGTGTTTTTGAAGTGAGGGTAGAATGTAAAAAATCTCACTTACTGCCTTTACTCGCCAAGCAAAAAAGGCCATTCATTCTGGTTGTATCTAATGTCCATTATAGACACCATTCTAATCCACATAACTTTATTTTTTCTATGACAAAAATGCTAACCGTAAAAAGCAGACCAAGAGGAAACAGAACGAGTGTATATGCCCAAATTTGGAACTACTTTAAAAATCAATGTGTATCTCACAGCGTGGAGCTATTCTTTGAGAAAAAAAAAAAGAACAAAACATGTGAAGGGAGTGAAGTGTAGATTCAGAAACCGCTTGGGTCTGTATTAAAGTAAGTGCGTAATCTTTATTTATATAGCGCATTTTCTCCTCAGACCTATTCTACATGTGTTTTAGTGGTAGGGGAAACCCGGAGCACCTGGAGGAAACCTACGCAAACACGGGTACAACATGCAAACTCCAATCAGAAACACCCAGATCCGACCGGGTTTCAAATCCAGGACCTTCTTGGTGAAAAAAAAATCTGTGCATTTCTGTTCGTTTTATCTTGTCCATTGTTTTTTTTCCCAATTTTTTCTTTCTGTCTGAGATGAAAACATTTTGAAGTTTGGAAAACATCTTTGCTCTCGGCCTTCTCCCACACTCACGTCCGTCCGTCTGTCCGTCCTGTGCCCCTTCTTTTCTGTATTTGCG